GGTGCAAGCTGCCTCAGCTTTCTCCTGAGCAGCTGGTGGATTTGAACTGTTGACGTTTGTTACAAACCAATTACATAACCAGAACTCCTTAGTATACAGTAAGCTGGGTAAACAAAAACTCTCGCCTGTGGGCCTTGTCTATTACTAGGCTCATTATGCCAGCGCTATGACCCCCCCCAAATGTTTTAAAAATAGTAAGAGCTAGTTGCAAGAAGCTGCACTGCAATCTCAAGATACGTGGTTTGAATCCACCAGATACTCTGCTGGAGAAGGAGAGGCAACCTTCTCCTGTACCAGTCAGATCCGATTTGATGGTGTACAATTAAAAAAAAATAAGAACTAATATTTATGGAACATTTACTATGAGGTGGGCATAATTCTGAATTGTTATTATTGTTGTTGACTGCCCTTGAGCACGACTCATAGTGACACTATGAAAGGCCTCAAGCCTTTTTATAACTATCGTCATTTAATTCTGAGTACTGTATGCATATTAACTCATTTAAACATTACAATACTAACTCTTTGAGGTAGGTAAACCAGGTGTCATGCAACCAATTCCAAGTAAAGCTGACCCCACGAGTGTCAGAACAGAACTGTGCTGTTGGTGACTAATGTTACAAAAGCAGACTGTCAGCTCTTTCTTCCAAGGTGTGTCTGCGTGGACTCCAACCTATGGGTGAGCAGTCAAACTCATTAGTGGGCTTCACCAGCCAAGGACTCGACTCCCTGTGAGGCTGGCTGTATGTTGTTGCTAGGTTGCTGTTGAGTCGAGTACAGCTGATAACAACTCTATGAACAGATCTGAAATCTGTCCTATCCTGTGCCATTCTCATCATCTCTGATCACATGAACCCATTGATGCAGTCACCATGTCAATTCATCTCACTGGAGGCGGGGGGCTGCTTTCTTTCGCTGACCCTCCACATTTCCAAGCATACCTTCCTAAGGAACAGCTTCTCCTAGCAACATGTTCAAAGGATGAGATGAAGCTTTGCCCTCCTTGCCTCCAAGGAACACTCTGGCTGCACTTTTTCCAAGATGTAAGTGTTTATGATTTTGGCAACGCATGGGATATTCAGTGTATTCTCCAACACCACAGCTCAAAGGCATCCATTCTTCTTCGGTTATCTTTATTCATTACCCAGCTCTAAGATGTACAGCAAGTGACTGAAAAGACTATGGCCTGAATGTAGTACACCTTAGTCTTCAAACTGACATCACTGTTCTTCAGTATTTTGGAGAGATCCCAATTGCAGACTTGCCCAAAACAGTATGACTGTGGATCCAAGTAAGATGAAATCGTTGCATTTCAATCCTTTCTCCATAGATCATGATGTTGTCTACTGGCCCAGTGGTAAAGGACTTTTGTTTTCTTGATGTTGAGATGTAAACCATATTGAAGGCTGTAGTCTTTGATCTTTTGCAACAAACTCCTCAGGTCCTTCTCACTTTCCACAAGCAAGGCTCTGTCATTTGTACACACAGGCTGTTGATGAGGCTTCCTGTGAGGTAGGTGCTATTTTTAATACCTATCTTACAGAAGGATAGGGTCGCTATGAGTTACCGGCCTGCACTTAACAACAATAGCATCAACATAGAGAGAGATCAGCTGGTCCAGTGGACAGAAAGCAATACTACCAAGCCAAAGGCAGGTGACTTTTAATCCGTGTCCCTCGAGACTGTCTTTCATTGTTTTTGTTTAGCCACTCCTCTAGGTCATATAGCCCTAGTGTACAAGTTGCCATATAGTGGTCACTTGTGGTTGCTGTAAGGCTGAACACTGTGACACTGATGTGTCAAATGCATTAATGGCTGGTTACCCAATGCGGACACAGAGTGGGGTGGAGCTCCCCGATTAAAACAAGCTTGGGAGGAGGAGTGACATCCACTTCTGTAAAAGCTTGTCTCTGGAAACCCTATAAACCTGGAGAGAGGATGAAAGAGACCCAAATATTGAGGACTCTCCTTCATAGGGTCGCTATTAGTCAGTCACCTGCGACTTGACAGCACTTAACAACAACATCTTACAGAAGAGGATACTTGAAGGTCAGAGAGGTCAAGTCACTTGACCAAAGGTGGTTGTTGTTGTTATGTGCCGTCGAGTCGTTTGCAACTCATAGCAACCCTATGTACAACAGCCCTAAACCCTGCTCTATCCTGTGCCAATCGCATTGCCTCTGACACACCCATTCCGGTTACCCCAGTCACTGAATCAATCCACCTCATAGAGGGTCTTCCCCTCCTGCGCTGTCCCTCTACTCTACCCAGCATGATGTCCCTCTCCAAAGACCTGTCTCTCCTTGCAACATGTCCAAAGTATGTTAGACGAAGCCCCAGAATCTTTGCCTCCAAGGAGTAGCCTGGTTTAACCCTCTCTAGGATGAATCTGTTTGCTCTCTTGGCAGTCCATGGTACATTCAATATTCTTCTCCAGCACCACAGCTCAAAGGCGTCAATTCTCCTTATGTCCTCCCTAGTCATTGTCCAGCTCTCTGATGCATAACAAGTATTGCAAAGCCCATGGCCTGTATCAGGTGCACCTTCGTCTCCAAAGAGACACCGTTGCTCTTGAGTATTTTAGAGAGGTCCCTAATAGCAGACTTTAACATCGCAATACGTTTTTTGATTTCCTGGTTGCTGGTGCTAAGAGTGTTGACTGTGGAGCCGAGCAAACTGAAGCTGTGAACAATCTCAATCTCTTCGCCATCCATCCTGATGCTACCAATTGGTCCAGTGGTGAGAATCTTTGTCTTCTTGACATTGAGTCTCAGTCCATACTGAAGGCTGCAGTCCTTGACCCTCTGCAGCAAGTGCATGAGGTCCTCCTCAGTTTCAGCGAGTAAGGCTGTGTCATCTGCATAACGCTGATTACCTTATAAAATGTTGAGTCAGTCTGGCTACAGAATCTACCCGCATCATCCCTCTACCCTATCTAAAATAAATTATTTCCACCTTTAGACTTGCGCACATACCCCAAGGGGCATGGTCAGAGCCAATCCTGAATAATGAAGGTCTCCACGGGAATAGAACAGACCTCATGCTACATCCAGGAGGGGCCCCTGCTTAGTGCTGAATTGCTACATGAAAGGTTGCCAGTTCAAATCCACCAAGTGTAGCTGGTCTGTGGAGAACGGAGGCAATTTGCTCCTGTTACTATTTACAGCCTTGGAAACCTGATGGGAGGGTTGCGATGAGTTGGAATCAACTCAAGGGCAGTGCGCTTGGGCCTATATTCGAAATATTCTTGCTCCCTCTTCTCGCTCGCTGCTCCCTTTCCACACCATTATACTGCAACCATAAGACTCCCCCACAGAATGATTTTAGGAATATCTTTCATTCATTCATTCAAGCAACATTAACCGCACGCATCCTGTGAGCACTAGCTCTTCTGGGTGCATCCGAATGCCCGAGACACACCCTTTTCTTACTGGCTGGACGATCACACACAGAATCTTACACATACAGGGCTAATAACGTGAGATCACATGTGGAAGGAAAAGAGAGGCACAGGGACCTATGAAAGCCATCTAAGAGATGGATTTCGGGGTGGGGAAGATGGGAAAGGGAAGGCAGGGGAAATGACGTGTGTGCCTGGTCCTCAAGCAAGGAAAAATAGGAGCCAGCCAGGCGGAATGGGTAAAAAGGGACTGCAGGTAGAGGGTTAGGCATGTGGCATGTGCAAAAGCCACAGAGCAAGGAGGCGAACGGCGAGTTTCCAGAACCCAGACTAGCGCAGCTGTGCGAGGTCGGGGATGAGCAAGAAGGCAGAGAGGCCAGTGAGGTCGGCGGGGCCGGCGCGCAGCGGGGGCCACGTTGGAACTTTGCCCTGTGGGTACTGAGGATCCACGGAAGGATTCTGAGCAAGGAAAGAGACTAGACTTGCGAAGACTACTGCCTTCCGCTACTGCCGCGGCCCGGTAGAGTCCCTAATATCTCAGAGCCCCTCTTCCCGTCTTCCCTGGGCCCCCACGCCGTCCCTCGCTCACCGCGGATGCGGCCTCCGTCCCCCTCGCGCCCCCTCAGCAGCGCCTCCTCGCAGACGCCATCGCCATCTTCCGCGGGCCGCCGGGACACTGCGCACGCGCGGCGCACGCGGGGCTGCCGGGAAATGAAGTCCAGACGGCGGCTCGACTACCTCTTGCGGGGCCGGGGGGGGGGGGCCTTCCTCGCTTTCCCAGGAGTGCCCGGGGTCAGCGCTTCACATGCCTTCTGGGAAATGTAGTCCCTCGGCATGGGGGAGGTGGGACGGGAGCTAGAGGCTTTTGGGAAATGGAGTTCCCAGAGGTGCTGAAGTCCCTGGACGGCTGGGCTTGGAGAGCTGGGGGGGGGGGAGGCAAAGTTTGGAGGTGATCTTTTGCTTTCATGGCTCATTAGCGGCCCGACGCCCTCCACCTTTGATCCTGAACATTTCTTTACAACCTGAAGCATTTGCAGCCGTCGGAAGCCTCAATCCTCTCATCCAAGACTCGCTTGAAGTTAAAGAGTGTGGTTTCCAAGAGTTATAGGTCCTCCTAGGGGTGCAGAGTGGCCCAGCTCTGCGCTTTGCGCTTCTTTTCTTCCGCGGCGGTCATGCTGGTCTCTGGCTATTGGTTCTCTTTTGTCGAGGGGATGAAACCTTCCCCTGCCCGAGGGAGAAGCTCTACCTCCGGGATTTTGGATGTCAGGAGTGTCTCCCTCCCTCGCCCGCCCTCTCCTGCTCTCATGCCCCCGAGATGAGATTGCCAGCACCTGAGGTCTGTGTCCTCGCGATCCCGCAGGGGGCGCCCCAGGCCGAGCGCACCGCCCTCGGGGAGGCGGGAGGGCAGCCTGGGGCTGGCGAGGGGCGGGGGTGTCCCGCCTATAAAGTGTGGCCGCCTCCCACGGCGTTCAGGACGGAGGGGACCTCGGACGGTCGGACGGGCGGGCGCCCTTCGCAATAGCACCGTTCCTGCGAGAGATTCGAGGTGCTCCGTTCCCCCGGGACCGGAACGGGAGCGGGTGGGGCGCAGGCCCCGGGGATGCTGGGCTCGGTGAAGATGGAGGCCCATGACCTGGCCGAGTGGAGCTACTACCCCGAGACCGGCGAGGTGTGTCCTCGGGCATGACGGAGCGGGAAGTGGAGGGCAAGCACCGGGGTTTAAATGGAGGCAGGGACCCGGGTGTGGGTTCAAATTGTGGACCGCCACATCTAAAGCGGGAGCCGAAGAACTCGGGGCGCGGGAACCAGGTGTGCAAGGAGGACCTGGGGATAAGAAATGGGCGCGCGGCTAGAGAGTCGTGTTGGAGTGAGGACTCCAAACTGAAGTTGGGAAAAATGTAGGTAAAGGTCAGGTTAGAGTTTCCACGTCAAGGCTGGACGTTGGGGACCCCCGATATCTCAGAGATTCAGATGAACAAAAGAAAGATTGGAATCTGCGGCTTGGGGGGAGTGCGCAGGTTGAAGGGATCAGGAAACGGGGTTCAGAGATGGAGAAAAGAGCAAGAGCTAAGGGTAGGGAGAATCCATTATGGAGGTCTAAAGTGGGAGCAAGGAGCCCTGGTGACACCGTGTTTAAGCGCTCAGCCGCAGCTGCTAACGCCAAGCCTTGCGGTTTGAACCCACCAGCTGCTCCCCAGGTGAAATGCCCTGAAGCACTGCTCCCATAAATAACAGTTTACAGCCCGGGAAACCCTTTTGGACAGCTCTGCCCTGGGCTCAGGGCTCATCGTGAGCCTGAGTCGACTGGTCAGCGATGGGTTTTCATTTTGGAAGGGGTAACTCAAGAGTTCATTTTGGAAAGGGTAGCTCAGAGAATATGGTGCTAAAAATTGGGCGCTCCAGGGTTAAAAAAGGAATTGGGGCTCAGGGTCAAAGTCGTGATTGAAAATAGGCGTGCAAATGGGATACTCGGAGGTGAAGCTATGTTTTGGGGGTCTGAGATAATTGGCAGGGTCGGGGGGGGGGCACTTCACTGAGAGGTGTTGTTTGGAGGTTGCCAATCTCAATCCCCCATTGCTCTCCAGGACTCAATCTTTCCAGTTAAACTTTCTGCTAGTTTAACGACTATTTGAGTCCTTTTTAAAGGGGAATGGAGGGGCGTTTCCGATTGCCCCTTCCCCCAACACCCAACAATCTCTAGCACTTGCTAATGTCCTCATTCAATTTGACTTTAGATAAACTCTCCCTGCATTTGGAGGTGGAAGTTGGTCCTAATTCCCTCAAACCATCCAACAGGATGTCCTTCTCCGAGTCTAACTTTTATTCTGCTTGCTGCAAAGATTTCCACTCCTTCATTTTCTCACTCTCTAGACCATATTGCAAGGCCTGGGAGGTAGGCTGTCCGAGGCTGAGAGTTCTGGGCCTCTGGATGCTTGGTTTCTTGACCTGGAAAGGAAACTAGGAACTTAAAGTGGAGATGTAGGCAGAAAGGACTGTCCTGGGAAGACTGAGATCTGTGGCCAAAATGGGCCCCACCATTCCTGAGGCCTGGGTCTGGGGTGGGTCTCCTGGATCCTCAGGTCTGCAGAGCCTGGCAGGGTGCCCAGGAGGGGCCAATTCTGGGATGGTGGAGGTGTGAGGTGCACGTGGGGTGGGGCAGGGCCAGCTGGGGAAGGGGCTGGGAGTATTGAGAGGTGGAAGGTGTCGTGGTGAGATGGGAAAGGTGGAGTCTGGGGTGAGAATTAGAGGCTCCTGGGTAGTGGTGGGGGTGGAGGAAATTCCAACTGGACCCCTGGAATGCTCAGCCCCTACCCTTCATTTAAGAGAACCACCTAGAAATCATTGTTTGAGAGGGCTTATCCTAAGAAGTAAATCATGGAGGTTGTGTGCTGGAGGAGTTATTCTTTGAGGTATTGTCTGCATGGGGCCATGTTTAAGGGACAATTTCTGTGAACAGTCTAGATAACTCTGAAAATAAAGGACAGTATAGAGATGACCAACATTTGGAGACTGTCTAGAAGACTGTTTTAGAAGAGTCTACATATGAGGGACTGGAAATGGTTTGGAGCATAATGTCTGAGAGTCTCCCCTGCGCCTCCCCAAATCAGATGCACCCACTTTCCTCCCTCTGTGCCCAAACAATGGGAAAAGAAATACCCACACACATCCAGAAACCAAAAGGGTCCCCAAATTGTCTCTTCCCTATATGGTGGTTTTGACCACCCCAGATGGTTCCCTGTCAAGAAAGAACTTGGAAAGTTGTCTCTCTTGGGCTGTCTCCACTGGCCTCAAATTCTTATACATTGCTAATCACTGTGCTACCGTTTTAGAGATGGAAAAACTGAAGCCCAGAGGAGTGTTGGTGGCAGTTTGAGGCCAGGGGCTGGACACTGGGCTTCTGGCTTTGCACTGCCTCTCTCTGCTCCTGGCACACCCTCCTCCAGAAACAATAAGGAAATGAAAAGGAAGAAATTCTAGCCTCCTGTCATGGGGGTGCAAGTCCCCTAAGGGCTTTCCCCCCAATCTCAGCCCCACCCTGGCGGGGGAGATCCGGTTTAGACCCGGACACTGGGCTTCCTCTCGGTTCCAGGGCGTGGGAAAGACTAGGGTGTATTAGGGCACCTCGAGGGCTTGAGGTCAGACCTCAAGGAGGACTTCCTGGTGGGTGGGGAGCCCATAAAAGAAGGTCCGGGGTCTCTGTCTTACTCTGCTCTCGAAGCGTCTGGCTGACTTACTGAACTGGGAAGAGGGGACGCAGGAGAACTCCCTGGGTCCTAGTGAATTCAAAACCTGGATTCATCTCTGAATGACTCTCCTTCTTTCCGGGGATGAAACAGAGTCGGTGAACCTGGGGGAGACTCGTGGGTGGAAGGGAGAAGGAGCCCTGGCTGTGGTTTCAGTGTGGAACTTCTGGGGTGATGGTGATGCCAGGAGAAGGAGAGAGATGGTTACTGAGATGTAAAGGAGAAAGAGAGGTGAGGTGGCAGGTTAGCTCAGGAGAGAAACAGCTGAGGGGGAGAGAGGTGGAGACTAGTAAGAAGAGAAGCGGTGGGGAGCAGATGGGGCTGGGAAGGGACATGGAGGCGAGAAGGGCAGAGATGGTGACTGGAAAGATGAAAAGAAAATTAAAGAGGCAGATCCCAAGGGGAAAGAAGAGGGAGGGATAGAAAGGGGACCCTGAGGAGGAGAGAAGGGGGCAAGGGAAAAATTCACAGAAGGACAGAGAACCATGAAAACAGGAAGGAAAAGGGTACTTAGAAGTACTGAGAGAAGGAAAGAGACAAACACACGTCAGACGTCAACCCCACAGGTGCTGAGTTGATTCTCACCATGAGCGACCCTATAGGACAGAATAGAACTGCCCCCTAGAGCTTTCCAGAAGCACGCTGCCTCAGAAGCAGAAGAGAAAGGTGCTGCCAGAGAGAGAGAGGCAGGTGGGTTTGAACTGCCAACCATTTGGTTAGCAGTCGAGTGTGTTAACCACTGTGCCACCAGGGACCCCTCAACAGCATGCCCCTCAGAGACACCAGAGGAGAGAGCAGGCTGGTTAGGGTTAGGGAGGATTTCTTGACTGGGACTCAGACCTGCTCCTGGTTGTCATCTGCTCTCATTCCCTGAGTGGCTGTGTGCAAGTTCTGCTTCTCTGGGCTTTGGGACCTATGTTGTTGTTGTTATTGTTATGTGCTGTCGAGCCACCTGCAACTCATAGCGACCCTATGTACAACAGCCCTAAACCTTGCTCTATCCTGTGCCAATCTCATTGTCTCTGACACACCCATCCCAATTACCCCAGTCACTGAATCAATCCATCTCATCAAGGGTCTTCCTCTCTTGTGCTGTCCCTCCACCCTCCCAAGCATGATGTCCCTCTCCAAGGACTGGTCTCTCCTTGCAACATGTCCAATGTATGTCAGACGAAGCTATAGACTCTAATAATTCAGGGAGAGGATGGCATGACTCCTGCTGACCCACACCAGAAGGGGCTCTGGTCCGAGGCTCCACCAGTGCTGTGGGACCCCAGCTGGGAATGGGGATACAGCCCTTGTGGTCTTTCCTGCAGGAGGGGGGCAGGCAGTTGAATGTGTAGTTGGAAGAGGGAAGAGGGTAGACAGGAGAGAGAAAATGAGAAGAGTTAGAATCCACAGAGGGACCAAAATTGTCTTCTATCTAAACTTGTTGCTGAGAAGCTGACCCAACTGACGCCCACCACGTGTGTGGAGGAGTATTTGGTTCCAGTAGCTAATTTTTTAGAAGGAAATTGCCAGATCTTTCTTCCAAGGTACTCCTGGCTGGCCTTGAACCTCTATCCTTTTAGTTAATAGCTGAGCGTGTTAACTGTCTCCTCCACCCAGGAGTCCTAAACCTTCTTTGTTATTAAGAGCCCTCAAATCTTTTCCAACTCATCTCTCCCTTTCTCATTGTCGTTGAATCAAAACAACTCACAGCTGCAGTGGGTTTTCAGAGGCAGCAAATAGCACCAGAGCAGATTGCCCATCTTTCTCTCTTGGAGCTGCTGGTAGATTCGAACTGCCAGGGAGTGCCACCCTTTGGCTGGCAGTGCATGCTCCCTTTCCAACTTATAGAGACGCTATAAGACAGAAGAGAATGGCCCTGTAGAGTTTCTGAGGCTGTGATGTTATGGGAAAAGATCATGAAGTCTTTTCTTCTGTTGTATCCAAACCACCGGCCTTTGCATTAGCATCCACGTGTTTAACCATTGCACCACCATGGCTCCTTCCTAAGCCACCCCCCCCCCCCCGCCTTATGTCTGCATTGTTTCTCTTTATGCTCATGCTTTTATGGCGTGATCCAGAACACAGGTTCTGGAGCCAAATCACTCATGTTCAGAATCCCAACCAAGGCTGTCCCCTAAACAGCCCTCCAGGCCTCAGCTTCCCCAACTGTAAGATGGGCATGAGAGCAGACCCAACGTGGTGCGTGTCTGGATTGAAGGAGACAAGTTCCCATTGCAATGCCTGGCACACCTAAATATTTGTTGTATTTAGGTTGCCATGGAGTCTGTTCTGACTCATGGAGGCTCCGTGTGTGTGCCAGAACAGAATTGTACTCCTATAGGCTTTTCAATGACTGATTTGTCGGAAGTGTACGGTCAAGCCTTTCTTCTCAGGTGTCTGGGTGGATTCAAACCTCCAACTGTTCAGTTAGTAG